TGAATGTAAAAAAGAAAAGTTTAGGTGTTAGATATGTAAATACATAGGAATTTGGTGTATGTATGTAAATGCCCCTTTTTTTTACTTTTAAATTTGCTTTGCATAAATTTGTAAAGTTCTGTTAGTGACTAAGTTGCAAATGTCTTTTTTTCTTCCCTTGTTTTTGCAGTGGGGTGTTGCTTACAAAGTTAATGGACAAGAGGATGAGAATATTGCATTATCAGTAAGATTGGAACATGAGAAATCTTTTTTGCATGCTTTTACGTGATATTAGAATGCCATCTTAAAAATACATAATCTTGAATAAAGTTTAATGTTTCATGTCAATAGTGCAAGTTTACATTGCGTAATGTTGTTGGCATTCTGCTTGCATTGCAGTTAACTTCTCTTCCTGTTTTCTTTGTTGGGGGTGTAAATGAGTCGAGGTTGGGGGAGACGAGTGTTTGTTTTTGTTCGACTCATTCAAATTTTTTTTTTGGGTTTGAAATAAGCTCATATTTCAAATGAATTGTGAATAACATGTTCGTGTCTGACTTGATTCAAATTATTTTGCTCATTTTAGCTTGTGTTCGGCCCAAAATTAGCTCGAATAATTTAAAAATAATAAAATTTGACATTTTATAAACATAAAAATATAATAATATTGTTATTTATTTAATTATTTAATTAATTTGAGTCAAACCCGATCGAATAAAAGTTTGTTATATTTGAATCGCTTGCTTAACGATTGAGGATGAGTTTTTTTAAGAGCCCTTTTCTCTGTAGTAGTTTTCATTAAAAATTTCCCAAGATGAAGACCGAGAGAAAGAGTGGTGGAGATTGCATGTTGGTGGGACTTGGGGAGTCAATGGCTTTGGGGTTGGAGTAACTCTGTGGACCGTAGATGGGATTGCCTTTAAGGCTGTAACTATTCCTTCGTTGAATACTTGGCCACCAAAAGTCAACAAGTATGAAACGATGCTAGTTTTTGTGCGTTTAACTTTCCCTTGGAGTAAAAAGAAACGAAATTTTGCTTGCTTACCACACAATTCTTGTATTTACATACCACACAAATTTCTCCCTCTGATCAATATGAGTGAGGTCATGGGATAGAGCGGTTTTGGTATTAATTTTGTCTTCTTGTTGCTTGTGGGTTTGTGGAGAGTCGCTCCCTCTCTCGAATTGTAGATCATCTTTGTAACTTGCTTATTTGCTTTGGTATTAATCCATTTTGGGTTTCTTCCCTCCTAATTCTTGAGCTGTTCATTGATTTTAGCTCTAGCTCGTATCATAATCATTATAACTTCATAGTGAATATTTAGAATTTTGGGAATTCACAGTCAATTAAATTATTTAAAATACTCGTGTGTGTGTGTGTGTGTGATTATTTCGACCCAAAATGAATCAAACACAAACAAACAATACGTGTGTGTGTGTGTGTCTGTGTCTGTGTGTGTCTGTGTGTGTGTGTGTGTGTGTGTGTGTGTGATTATTTCGACCCAAAATGAGTCAAACACAAACAAACAATACGTGTGTGTGTGTGTGTGTGTGTGTGATTATTTCGACCCAAAATGAGTCAAACACAAACAAACAATACGTGTGTGTGTGTGTGTGTGTGTGTGATTATTTCTGTGTGTGTGTGTGTGTGTGTGTGTGTGTGTGTGTGTGTGTGTGTGTGTGTGTGTGTGTGTGTGTGTGTGTGTGTGTGTGTGTGTGTGTGATTATTTCGACCCAAAATGAGTGAAACACAAACAAACAATACGTTGTTCGTGTTCGGCTTATAAACAAACAATACGTTGTTCGTGTTCGGCTTATTTATATATCGAGCGCAAAAAAATTGTTCGTGTTCGACTCGTTTGCTTAGTGAATGAATGTGTGTGTGTGTGTGTGTGTGTGTGTGTGTGTGTAAATTATTTAAATATGTATAATTATTTCGAGCCAAAATGAGTCAAACACAAACAAACAATACTTTGTTCGTGTTCGGCTTATTTATATATCGAGCGCAAAAAAATTGTTCGTGTTCGACTCGTTTGCTTAGTGAATGAATCAAACACAAGCTACTTAACGAGCAGAACATAAGTTGTTCTTGAACAACTAAGCCATTTTGACATCCCTAGTGGCTTTTTAGTATCATTGTGTAAATAATAGTTAGGGGTATTTGATTTTTGTGGCATTTACTTGCAGAGCACACAATTATAATGTATGAACATATCTCACACCTAAACTTTCATCTGTACACACATAACACTCAAAACCTTAATATCACATAAAAATAATGCTATTAGCACTTTTAAAAGTTAAATACACATTTTCTTGCACATATTTAAAGCAACAAAGTTCTATGTGTGTAAATATCAAAGTTAAGGCGTGGGATATGTAAATACATAGGAAATGTGTGCTATACATGTAAAGTTCCCATTAATTTTTACATGCTAGCTATTTGGCTGGATGACATCTTAAATGATAATTTTTCAGATGATATTTCAATCGTATTGTGTTGACATCTTAACATTCAGGCATATGTTGACATCGATATGTCAGGCTACATCATAGCTAAAAATTGGCAAAATCATTTTTTTCGCATATTGTGATTGTCTTAAATACATTATATTTGATTTATAGAATTGTAATCTAAACAAAACAACCACCATGTTTAAAACAATATGAGCAAAGATTGACTTGGGAGTTGTTTGGTTGCTTGTATTATAAAACTTTGTTGTTTGGTTGGATGGAAATGTCAATGCAATATAAAATTTTGTTGAATTCAAAATTTACATCTTAGTCCAATTTTAGTCAATTTTGAAATTGCTTGATTTCCGAATATACCGCAGAAGTTGCAACTGTCGCCGTTGTGGCCGCCACCAGCTTATGCCTGCCATTTGTGCCTTTCGGTTTACATTGATTTTATTTTACTATAAATCAACCAAAATAAAATCTAAAATATTTCAAATACAATACATTTCAATTGTTTTACGTTGGGCCTCACTTTACGTTCGGCCTCTCAGCTTATATCTGTGCCTCTATAATACACCTTTCATCATAACCATGCTGAAATCTCTTGCCTTGTGTGTGTTTTTTTTTTAAATTAATTATTTATTTGCATAACCTTCTACTTTACAATGCAGTATCTAGAAGTAAGAGAGAAGCAATATGACCAAAAGGTTTATGTTGATCTTTTTACTGTAAGTTAAGGTTATATTTATAATTTTCAAGTTTATAATATCATATCCACCCCCCTTATTTGAACTACAATCTAAACCCATTTCAGGATTCATCCTCTCCAACCCCAGCTGTTAGTGGAGTTATGGTGTAAGTGATGATTTTTTAAGGGGTTTCATTTTACATACATACCCCCCAATTCCTGTGTATTTGCATACCAAATACTTATCTTTTTCACATTCATCCAACCCAAATCTTTCGTATCATATCAAAAATACCATTATTTTGACCTTTGAAAAGTGAAATTTATCCTTTTCATGCATATATGTGAAAATTGATGTTTAGGTGGTAGATATGTAAAGAGAAATTAAGTGGTATGTATGTAAATCTTTCCTTAACCACCTTTTACCTACCTTGCTACAAATTAATTTGATGGACTTCTATTCAGATACGTTGCTTCACCAGACACGAAGGCCAACACAAACTATTTGGGGCCAGCACCAATTGAAGATATAGCCAAGTAAATTTGATTCTGGTTTTTTTTTTATTTTTTAAATTTAAAAATGCATTTATTTAGTGTATTTTTTGCATATTTTTATTTTTTTTTATTAAAAAAATCAAAAGCAAAAATGAAAATTTTGTGCAGGCAAATTATTAAAGCAGAGGGGCCATCTGGAAGAAACAGGGATTATCTTTTCCAGCTAGAAGAAGCTCTCAATCGATTAGGTTTCGTTTTGCTTCAGATTGCTAAGTTTATCAACTGATTTTTATTAGGGGTGTAAACGAGCCGAACACGAGCTGTTCACGAACAAAGAGTCCTTTTAACAACCCTAAAACATTTTAGTTCGTGTTCCGCTCGTTAACTTATCGAACAAAAATAACGAGCCGAACACGAGCTTTTTAACGAGTCGAACACGAGTTGTTCGCGAACAAAGAGCCGTTTTGACATCCCTAATTTTTATCATGTTATTTTTAGTTTTTGAGCACCGGAAACATTTTTTATTTACAAATATACCACGTAGCACTCTCTTTCATCCATTTTTTATTTGGGGAATTTACATGCCTAGCATCCAATGCTCATGCATATTTACTTATCTAACACTCGAGCTTTAATTGATACATCTTTTTATGCATAGAAAAATGCATCTAGCGTATAAAAATAAAATTTAGGTGCGAGATAAGTAAATGCATGAGAATTGCGAGCTATGCTTGTAAATTTTCATTTTCATTTTTATCAAATTTTTAATGGTTTGATCTTCGCTCGCTTAAATGCATCTCGATAGTTCAAAAATATCATATGGGTGTTAGATTTTGTTAATAGTGATATTTTTGGGTGTTTTGTATGTAATTATCTTTTTTTTTTTTTTTATATTTTTTTGTTGCAGGATGCTTTGATATGCATGTTAGGGACCTTGCAAATGCAGTCAGAGAACTCCTCAAAGACATCAAGGCAGAGTCTGATATATATTAGGCTGAAGAAGAAAAGAATGAGGAATATTTACATACATACCCTCTTATTTCCTATGCATTTACCAAGACCTAAATGCCTTCTTATATCTTATTTATGCAATACAAATATGTATTTCATTTTTTTTAAATTAAAATAATAAGTGCACATTTTGGTTTCTATGCAAGATTGAATTTACAAGATTGCACACAATCAGCTTTAACCAATATAAAATAAATAAAAAACAATGTGTACGAGACATTACGCACGTATACATACACGTTTAGATGCTCGGAGGAAAAAAAAGAAAAATTACAACCCCTCGTATTCGCATCATTTAAAGTACATATGCCGAACATACGTAATATTTGCTCGTGTGTGTGCACGAATGAAAGAAAAGATAGCCATCAAAATATATAAAAAGCATAATAAATGGTTTTAAAAAAAAGCTAATTTCTATTTCTACAAACTTCATTACCCACAAAAATAATTACACATCATCATCTCCATCACCAACAAAACATCATCAGTCTTCATTATCATAGTCTTCATCCTCATCCATTTGCATGTTCAAGTTTACCATATTTGCAGGCTCTATCCCAAGACTGCCAACCCCATCAGATAGAGGCCATGCAGAGCAATCTTTTGTTGGACACAAATCTGCGGTGTTTGTGATTGTTGTATCTGTTGGATCCTTGCTCTCCTTCGCCCTTTCCGTGACCTCCGTATCTGCATTCACGCCTTCAGGATCATCGTGCTCCGGCGAGAGCTCGATTTCATCCTCAAATTTCATGTAGGATGACCCTTTCTCGATCGTGCGGTTTAGAGGCGGTCGTCCTCGACCTCGTCCCCGGCCTCTCGCGCGCCCGCGAGGACTCACATTTGCGCTTCGCATTGCCTAACATTAAAAGCATTTTTTCGATGGGATTAAAGGGTGTGTAAGGAATGTATCGATTCAAATCTCAGGGAAAAAAAAGAGGAGTTAGCGAGCAGCTTACCATCTTAGCAGACCTTAAATCTTCTGTCAATACATCACCATCATGTACTACTTTTCTGCAAGATAAATTTCTGATCAGTTACAGATATTTTAGATAAAAATCAGTGGCTAAAATGGGCCATTTACATGCATACCGCTCAATTCTTATGTATTTACATATCTAGCACCTAAGCTTGGATTTTTTACATTTATACCAGTATACCACTCGATTCTATCATATCACACGGAAAATATCACCATTTTAACTTTTAAAACGTGCAAATAAACCATTTCTGGCACGGGTAGGATGGCGTATATGTAAAAATAGATGCGTACGTAGGGGATATGTAAATGCATAAGAATTGAGAGGTGCACATGTAAATCTTCCTAAAATTTGAAAAAAGTGCTGAGAACTTTACCTTCTCCGCGTTATTCCCTTCTCATCACCAACGGATTCTATGCCACCAAGGTTTGGTACTTTGTTGACGACATCCGTTAAGAAATCAAATGCACTATACATCTTTACACATTGTTTTCTGTGAATTAAGAAAAAGAAAAGGATAAGACAGTCCTTAGTATAAACAAATTCATTTGATCTTCAAGCAAGATTCTTATATATATATATATATATATACATCCGTGTGCGTGCCGTTCGCCTTGACTATTTGGTAGTGCAGCCTAGCTTAAGTTCCCTGTGGTCACGGGTTTGATCCCGCCTCAGTGCATCTGCCTTACAGTCCGTGATCGAGTGGTTCCAAAA